CTTGGGTCACGTTTCTCTATGCTTAGAGAGAGAGAGGAGAGAGAATATTTTAGGCAAACCGTTAGCCACCCAGGTAACTTTCTCTCTCCTCTCCTCATTCTCTCTCTTCTTTCTCTCTCCTCTTTCTCTCTTCTCATCTCTCTCCTCTTTCTCTTTTCTTTCTCTCTCATCTTCTTTCCTTTCTCTCGCTTCTTCTTTCCTTTCTCTCGCTTCTTCTTTCCTTTCTCTTTCTCCTTTCCTTTCTCTCTCTCCTTCTTTCCTTTCTCTCTCCTTCTTTCTTTTTTCTCTCTCTTCTTCTTTCTGCTTTTTTCTCTTCTTTTCTCTCTCTCTTCTTCTTTTTGTTTCTTTTTGCTTTCTCTCCCTTTATGTCTCTCTTCATAGGGACAACGATGTGGGCTCACCCTTTTTGGTGGACCTCATTGTGGTCTATGTATTCTCTCTTTATCTCTCTCCTCTCACAAGGGTAGCGACGTGGGCCTACCCTTTTTAGCGGGGCTCGTCGTGATCTCTGTATTGCCTCTCTCCTTTCTCTTTCTTCTATCTCTTTCTTAATAGACGGCAGCTTAGCTGCCGTCTGTGTGCTCTCCTCTTCTTTCTCTATCTTCCTTCTCTCTTTTCATAGACGGCAACTAAGTCGTCGTCTGTGTATTTTTTCTCTTCCTTCTCTCTTTTCACAGATGATAGCTAAGCTGCCATCTGTGTACTCTCTCTCTTCCTCTCTTTTCACAGACAACAGCTTAGCTGGTGTATGTGTATTCTCTTTCTTCTTTCTCTCCTTTCACATATGATAGTACAATCTGCTGTCTGTGTACTCTCTTCTTCTCTTCTCTCTCTTCACAGACCACAGCTAGGCTACCGTTTGTGCTCTCTTTCTCTCCTCTCTCTTTTCACAGATAGAAGCTAAGTCGCCGTCTGTGCTCTCTCTCTCTCTCTCTCTCTCTCTTTTCTCAGACAGTAGCTAAGCCGCTGTCTGCGCTCTCTCTCTCTCTCTTTTCTCTTATTTCATAAATGGCAGATAAGCCGCTGTCTGTGCTCTCTCTTCTCTCTCTTCATAGATGGCAGCTAAGCCTCCGTCTGTGCTTTCTCTTTCTCTTTTCTCTCTCTTCACAGATGGCAGTTAAGTCTTCATCTATGTCTTTCTTCTCATTCTTCTTTCTCTATTCTCCTTCTCACTTCTCTCTTAACTTTCTTGTTTCTTTTATCTTCTTCTTCTTTGAAGGATCTGGGTGAAAAACAGACCCATTGGCATTGTTCCTTCATTATCCCCTTGAATATACACGCATGTGTGCATTCATTTCAAAGACAAGGTGGGGTCTTCTAACCCACTTGTCTATATTTTAATGTGTGTGTGTGTTTTGCAGGGAAGAAGAAACAGGTCAAGGAATACTATTCGGAGCCAGCCACAGGCCAAGGGGGCATTCCATGTGATCTAAGTGGGTGCCCATACGAGCCAGCCTGAGTGTGTCACAAACCCACATGTGGTAAGTCCCACTTCACGACCCAATTTCTCTCTCACCGGCTGTTATTCCTGTATGCATCCTTCTTGCACGATTCTCGAGAGAACGATCTCAGGTCCTGGGTCCATCTCGAACCCGAAACCACGCTGTCAAGTCATCTCGATCTGGAGGGCGAGATCGAGGCACCTAACTAGCTTCGCGACTCCACTAGGGACACGTTACCCCATAGTCAGATCGTCCTTGTTTGGCTTTCCTTTCTTCTATTTCCTGTTCACTAACACACACATGTCTTCAGGGTTGTTCAACCCCTTCATCCGAATCGGGGATTTTTTGATCCCCACACTCGTGGATCTGCTTCGGGAATAGGTTCCGCGAACCTCATTTCCGACCTTTCCCCTGAGCGTCGAGCCCGTGTCATGCTCCTAAGTCCTTATCTAGATTAGTGTGAGGAGGGATCTAAAAGTTCCTCAGTCCCCATTAAGACCTGACGTGGGGCAAGGACGAGTTTGCAGACGGGGCAGAGAGCTAGTCCGACCTTAGTGACCCCATCGACTTGGAGCCATTTGAGCCATCACCTGTTCGAACTCCCCATCCCATCTCAAGTCGGGGCACCAGAAGTGACACCTTCGGCAAGTAGACTGAGTCCTAGCATGTCAAGATGTCGGGACCTATGCCAAGTCAATCCGAGCTCGGGGCAGCTCATGGATCCGAACAAGTCTCTTGGGGCAGTCTCAGCACCTCAAGGGAGATGGAAACCGAACCCGCAGATGGTGCAAGGCCCGAATCAGGGATGAAGACCCGACTAAACTGGTTGGGTCCAAGTCCCTCATCGTTAGAAAGCCCAGATTTGCCCTTCCCAAGTTTGTGAGAAACCCATTATATGAGGATACATCCCAGGCTTTTGAAGATGCAGAAATTGAACCAAAAGTCTGCCTTGACGTTCTGGCTCCCAAAGATGAAACTAAAGAGAAAACCGATATCGTTGAACTCCTTCAAAAGTTTGAGGAACTCAATGTCAAGATCGACCTTCTTAACAAGAAGGGGACTCTGCCACTGTCCACTCTCCTTCTGTCTTTACATGGATTCATCAAATAATATTGGAGACATGATGGACAACCATCTGCCCTGGTTGGTTCTAATAATGCTCCCACCCTTGCGTGCCCTCTCCCCAACATTCTTACCTTTGATGAGAACTCATCACTTTCATTCGAGGAAAGCTGCTCCCTAGTATTGGATGAGATGAGTTGCACTTCCTTTGATGGTAGCCCTGCTCAAATGGCTCCCCCATGCCCTGAGGATACCACGACTCCCTAAAAATGTGGTGGGCAAACTCTATTTGTGTGTATCGCCCCAAATGAGAAGGACGCTTTCGAGGCAATTAGACCCAAAGCTTCCGTTCCTCCACTAGAAGAAGGGCCCTCAAGTATGGCTGCTGTCGAAGCTATAGTGACCAATGAAGTACCAGAATCCTATGGAGACGGGATTGCGCAGCTTAAGGCCTCATTAAGGCAGTTACACGTTGAGATGAGATCAAAGTATGGCATGATAGAAACCTTACGCCAAGAGGTATTGACGTATCGTAAGCATGAGCATACCCGTTCGGGGCACCAAGCCCTCTTTACTGTCTCTCAAGCATCACGTCTAGTCATCAAAACAAGGTCATCAAGAGAAGAGCAACTACCTCCACCTTTGTCGCTTCCTCACGTTCACCAAGAGGGTCAACAAGGCAGTACAAATCAAAAGCTCGCTCAAGCACCATGGAAACATATCTAGGCCTTTCATAGTGGACAATGATGATATGTAGTCAGCGACCACCATGCCCAATACCATGCGTTTCCCAAGAAGAAGCCGGTGCAGGGTTTATTCCTTTGACAAATGCATGATCCCCAAGTTGCTTGAAACTCTCTTATCTAAGGGGATGATCGAACTACTTACACCAAAAAGAGCAAAGGAAGTCGAAGGGATGATGAGCCTGATTATTGCCAATATCATAGGATACTTGGTCTCAAGACTGAGGAGTGTATTACCAATGGAGACATTATCCAAAATCTCATATACAATGGGGAGATTGAACTAGAGGTCCACAGGTGATCCAGTGTTGCACCACGGTCTGAGCTACAAGACCCTAAACTGCATAGCCATAGTCCAAGTTATGAGACCCTAAACTATAACACACATCTTGGTTGCATGACGTTAAATTGCACAACATACGGTCTCAGAGGCATGACCTTAAACATGCCCTCTGGTCCCGGTGTATGACCTTAAAACACACTATCACTACGGTCTCGGAGGCACGACCTTAAACATGCCCTCAGGTCTCGACGGACGACCTTAAATCATGTCAAATCGACTGTAATGGTGGCATGACCTTAAACATGCCTCCACAAAAAAAGATGGATACGACAAAAACTCGAAAAGGCGTCATGGGAAAAAATGTCAAAAGACGAACATGATGAACACCTGAAAGGGCATCATGGGCAAAAGCATCAAAAGAAAAAGAAAAGAAAAAAAAAAAATGGCTGAGGTGGAGTAAAACCCGCGGGCAAAAGAGCCACAAAAAATTCTTTTCGAGGTGGCGCACACCTCAAGGATTTAAACGAAAACCCAAAAGGGCGCTTGAGTGAAAAGGAGAGCTCTTTACTACCTTGCAGTCTCCTAGAGGGCAGCAATGAAAGATGAAGAAATACAATGCAAGTGCAATACAAGCAAAGGAAAACATGGAGTTTCATTCATGTAAGTAAAAATTTGCTGTACAACCATTTTTATAAAATCAAAAGGCAAGAAAAAGAAAGATAAAGTGAAGAACTATCAGAACTGATCAATCATCTCATCGATCTTTGACTTGGATCTCCCGGACTCTGGCCTGGCCCCTTGAGCGCCCTCCTTGAGCTCAGCCAATGCTCGTATCCCTTGTTCCAAGGAGGTAGCCACTAACTCAAGGGTGTGATTGAGTCCTAACAGCTCGATAGTAAGGCTCTTATCCTTGGCCCTTAAGAGCTTCATCTCCTTGTCATGCTAGTCGAACTCAGCCTTCAGCTTCCGCATCTCCTCCTTGATGGCCGTCATCCTATCAAAGTGGCCTGATGCTTCCTTTTTGAGGTCTAATTTCAGAGAGGCTGTAGTCACCCTCTTCCGTGCACAAGCATCCATTTCTTCGCTCCGACGTGTGACCAAGGCTTCTAAACAGAGCAGCTAAGCACCTTCTAGCTCACTTGCCTCTGCCTCCCCCTACAATACCTTCACTCTCCATGCCTCCAGTGCATCTAAGAGAACGTGAAAATAAGCAAATACCTTCTTATCACCTTTCAGAGCGTTGATTACCTGGGCATACCTTGGAAGCTTGGCAATTCCAAGGCCAAGTTCTGCAGAGGACCATCCCTTTAACTGACGAAGGCCAGACCGAAGCATGTCCACAACTATGAGGGACTCCTTACTAATGGTGGGCCTGGTCAAGGTCGAGATTGGAGCTGAGGTCACCTCAGCTAAAGGCACTATAGCTGGAGCCATCTCAACGGAAGAAACCTTGGTAGGAGGAGCCACTTCTTAAGAAACGATGGCCATAGTGATGGCCGGCTCAGGGGGCGCAATCTCAAAGCCCATGTCACCAGGCTCCCTGAGCTTCTTTTCTTGAGTAATGATCAGGCCTTCATTGCCTAAGCCCTCGGCCATGTCACTAGGAGCAGCTGCCCCAGGTTGCTCACTAATGCCAGGCTCATCTCCTCTGGCAGTACTCGGGCCTTCATCGTCAGAGCCCTCGGCCATATCACCAAGAGCAGCTGCCCCAAGTTGCTCACTAAGGCCAGGCTCATCTCCTCGGGCAGTGCTCGAGCCTTCATCTCCTGAGCCCTCGGCCATATCACCAGGATCAACTGCCCCAGGTTGCTCACTAAGGCCAGGCTCATCTCCTCGGGCAGTGCTTAGGCCTTCATTGTCTGAGACCTCAACCATATCCCCAGGAGCAATTGCCCCAGGTTGCTCACTAAAGCTGGGCTTCTCTACTTGAGTAGTGCTCAGCCCGTCATTGTCTTCACCACCAGTTAGATCACCTCGGGCAGTTATCTCATATTGACCAGGTGTCTCCTCGACACCGAGCTTCTCCTGTTGAACATCAAGAGGGCCGTCATCAGTAGCCCCACTTGCAACTCCATTCACTGGTTAGGTGCCTCGATCTCGCCCTTTAGATCCGGATGATCCGACGGTACACGTCTTGGGTTTCGGGGGAACCCGGGATTGGCTAGGACATAAGAAAGACCAGCAGCATATCCATTAGTGGATCGGGATCAAGAAACGAAACTAAAAGGGCAGCTCAAACAAAGGTGTCAACAGCTAAGGAAAGCCTCTTATTATAGGAAGAAATCATCCGAATGTTTTTTCATAGCTATATATAGATGCAACAGGAGCGAGCCTGCATCAGAATAGACAGTAGCAGAGGCAGGGGCGGGCCAGCTTATTCGTCTCTCTGCTTAAAGATCAAGCCTCTGATGATTCCTTCAACAAGTGTACTTTCCGTAGTTCTCCCTGGCCTTTGAGCTCTTGGGCTTTCAAGATAGGCACTGAGTTTCCTTTTCAACTTTAAGATCGGTCTCTTGGGAACCTTGCTTAGGAGCGAGGGTAGGTATACTAACCAATGAGAGAGGAATTTAAGGTGGGTTCAGGACTTACTCGGGCTGGCTTACGTGGGCACCCTCTTAGATCATGAAGAAAGCCTCCCAGTCGTAAAACGGGTTCAGAATTGCCTCCCTTGACCTGTATTCTCCTATTTCTGCAATCACACACACATGGTTAATTTAAGAGACAAGTGGGTCAAGTGACCCCTCCTGACTTTGGGCGAACGCACATCCAAAAGAAGAACTAAGGGAAAGGAATAAATGAAAGAAGAAGAAAGAGAAAGAGTAGAAGAACGAGGAAGATAAGGATTTGACTAGGTGGATGGACTTAACACAATAGCTAAACCGGCAAGTGATTGACTTGTCGTGGTAGAAAGACGGGCACGATAACTAGATCGGCACAGTGGCAATACTACTAGAACAAGCACGATCATCAACTGACCTGACACGATGGCTAGCCTATCGTGGCAATAAGGCGGGCACGGTAACTAAAACAAACACAATGACAGTACTGCTAGATGATGAGACTACCATGGCAGTGCTTGACTTAGCCTCCCTTGATCAAACGAGAGAGAAAGAAGAGAAGCGAGAAAAGAAAGAGAGAGGGAAAGGAATGCACAGTACTACCGATATCGTGCATGTGAGAAAAAGAAAGGAAAGAGAGAGAGAGGAAAAGAAGAAGAAAATAACAGTAAGAAAGAAGAGAAAAGGGGGAAGAAGAAAGAAGAAAGGGAAAGAAAAGAGAGAGGGGAACATAGGTGGCGATGAACTTTCATAGTTCATGACAAAGAATTGAGAAGAGAGAGAGGACATGGACGGCGATGAGCATCCGCCATCCATGACGAAGGAGAGAAGAGAGAGAGGACATGGACGGCAATGAACTTTCACCATCCATGATAGAGAAGTTAAGAGAGAGAAAATAGGGACGATGATGAGCTTCCACCGTCCTTGACAGAGGAATCAGAAGAGAGAGAAGACATGGACGGTGATGAGCATCTGTCGTCCATGAAAGAGAAGTGGAGAGAGAAAAAACATGGACGGCGATGAACTTTCGCCATCTATGACAGAGAAATCAGAAGAGAGAGAAGACATGAGCGGTGATGAGCTGCTGCCATCCATGATAGAGAAGTGAAGAGAGAGAAAACATGAGCGGTGATGAACTTCTGTTGTCCATGACAGAGGAGAGAAGAGAGAGAAGACATGTATAGCGATGAGCTTCTGCCGTCCATGATAGAGAAGTAAAGAGAGAGAAAATAAGGACAGTGATGAGCTTCCACCGTCTATGACAGAGGAGAGAAGAGAAAAGAGAAAACACAACCGAGGATGAGGCTCTGCCTTCCATGACACAAGAATTGGAAGGGAGAGAAAACATGGACGGCAATGGGTTACCGCCGTCCATGACACAGGGGCATAAGATGAACTTTGACAGAGGTCCGACTCACTGTTTAAGTCCTAAAAATGAGAATGCATCATGTCAGGCGACAGGCTTCGTCATACATGAATAGAGAGAGGAAAGAGAAAGAATAAGGAGAGAGAAGGAAAGTGAAGAAAAAAGAAAGGAAAGACAAAAGAGAGAGAAGGAAAGTGGATAAAAAAGATTAGAGAAGAAAAAGGAAAGAGAGGTATAGACGAGAGGAGAGAGAGAGATGAGAGGAGAGAGAAAGAGAGATGAGAGGAGGAAAGAAAGAGAGAGATGAGAGGAGGAGATATAAAGAGAGATGAGAGGAAGAGAGAGAAAATTACCTTCATCAAAGGGTACCAAACCTTTTATTCTCTCTCCTCTCTCTATCCAAGACATACCCACAATTTGAACAAGTAAACTCTCAAATTTTATTGATGAGTATTGAAAAATCAAGGGTCCCATAGCAATTGTGTTTAACATGTACTTATATAATTGGGCCCAAACATGGGTGTATGCCAAAAAATTACCTAAATTGATGATAATTACAATTTAATTGAATTAAAAGAAATTCTAAAATTGAGTACAAAAGGATTGTTTTGCCCCTACCCAACAATACATAAAATCCAAAAACAGTCCCCGTTGCTGCCTTAAAACTTGCGTGATCTTCCATGGATGATTTGAGGTTGCGCTCGCGTCCATTTGGCAGTAAGGTCAGAAGCTATTCAATCTAGAGATAGCTTCTGACCTTACGTACATAATGCAATTGGTTTCACGTTGATCGGGTATGCGAGCGTCGTGATATGGCCGCTCGAGCGAGGCGTGCTGTTGCTGAATTTTTCCTCCGCTATCTTCATGAATGATCAAATTCTCTTTAGCTTTTCTTTCTGCTTAGGTATTGTCACAGGTTATGCCACATATCAAAACTCTCATGTTGATAAGACGAACATGCTCACCAAATTTGAGAGCGATCCGTTGTAGAACGAGTGAAATATGGGTCTTTTAAGTTGCTGCTCGGGACTGTGCACGCCAGCCTCCTTTAATGGAGATTGGTGCAGGGAGGCCGCACGGGAATAGCATGCAGCCTACCCGTTTTTAATATTTAACCTATAACTTTGTCCTGGAATGTCCGATTAAGTTGAAACTTGACCTATAAGCATTTTCGACCGTGCCAAATCTAATGGAAGTAGTACCATAGCTGTTTGATGCACTGAAAATATAGTTCTAGTTATGGGGTCCATTTTAGGGTTCTAGAGGCTGATCTTTCTGAAATTGTTTCTATGTCTGTATTGCCTTAAACATGTCTGATTGAGACGAAACTTAGTAGGTGGCCTTTTGGAGTGCTTAGGAAGATTCTGACCTATTTTGGAGAAATTCTGAGACTATCGAGAATTCCAGTATATGTTAAGGCTTTATTGACTGACTTCTTCTTTATTCCGCATCGGGACTCAAGATGCTGAAAAATGTGTTCAAAGAGCTTGCCCTGCCAAATGTTGTGCTTCGAGAGAAGCGAGAAGGATAACATTCAAAAAATTTCCTTCGATTTTATTACTTTTTTGTTCCTAGCCGCAGAACGACGTGAACGCCGAGGAGATTCACGCAATGTTGTAACTAGGATGCTCAGATGTTTGGATGCAATGTATAGGTCCCTCCATGGAGACTTTAGGGGAAGAAGAGACTGTTTGAGGGACCCTATCATAGTCCTCACCCTCGCTTGGACTGTTTGTGATTTTGAAGCTGAGGATTTTGTACAACCTCGTTGGTCAGAATCAGGCCCATCTGGCAGTCGAGTGTCGTGCTGAAGGGCATTTTTCCCATTTAGTCTAGGTTTTTTGTATCCTCTGGTGTTGATCCACGTTTCAATGATTTTGTTTATTTTGGATGTCTGCTAAAGGGCCTTTGGTTGGCGTCCATCTGCGTTGTGTACCAGATATTCCTTGGTGGGCAGGGTACCTCAGTTTATCGAGGTGACCGGCTTTGGGTATAACCCCTACCCACTGCTAACAGTTTCAACAATCAAGATACCTCTCTTCTTTATCCGAGGTGATCCCTGAGGATTCAATTCTAATTGCTGCATAATAGGTCCAAAGTCATGGCTGACTTGGCTTTCTTGGGGCTTCTTCAACATCTTTGAAGTGTGTTAGCGACCTTGTGGGAATAATGGTCTTCTTCATGAGACTTGTCTTGCCTTCTTGGTGAGTTTTATGTCCTTTGAGTCCTTTTTGCGAATGGACTTAGGCTGTCGGAATCTTTCCTTGAAGTTCGTATTTTTTGGGTCCTGGTATTGTGACACCAGGGATTTTTCTCTTGAGTGTGGGCAGAAGCCAAGTGCTGCATCAACCTTTTTATTGGTCCAAGCGTCCTTTGCAGATTTTCACTTGGATTTGGGAAGTGGCGCCATAGAGACGGTTTTCGTCAACTTCTTTTTTATTTGGGGCTCTTTTACCCATAACCTTTCTGTCATGTTCACCCTTATTTTTTTATTTTTACTCACGGTGCCCTTTTTTTGGGGTTTTCACCGTGCCCAAGTTTTTTTTTACAGAACTCTTTTACTCATGATTTCATGACCATGCCCATCCGTCTTTTTTACTCATGGTGTTCCCTTGTCTAGGTATACACCAGGCCCGTTATTTTCTTCTTCTTCTCTTTTTTTTTGTTTGTGAAGGCGTGTTTAAGGTCATGTCTTCAGAACCTGTGCGAAGCATTTAACATCATGTTGCCAGGACGTGCACTACAGTTTAAGGTCATACAACTGGACCATGGTGGTGATGAATGGTAGTCTGTGGAGGCCATGGAGTGAGTATGGTGGTGCTTTTAGCTCACTTTTAGGAGATGGCACAAGGTTACCTATGAAAGATGGATGATGTATGAATGGTAGGTAAAAAAATGGTGACCAATTAACTGACAACGAGTATAGATGGCGGGATAGTTCGTTGTTTTGTGAGCATGAGTGAAACTCACTGGGAATGGTAATGAAAGAAGGTGGATTTACTGGGGAGTTGATGAAAGTGGTGCACACACATGGACAGGTCGGTTAGGAAAGACGTGCATGAAGATGCATGTAAAGGGCATGTGTGCGTGTGTGAGGGCATTTTCAAGGCCATGCCTCTGGGACCAGTCTAAAGTAGTTTAACGTCATGCAGCCAAGACGTGCACTATGGTTTAAGGTCATATAGGTTGGACTGTGGTTATGCAATTTTAGATCGTGCAACTGAGACCATGCAGTTTAAGGTCGTGCAACTAGATCTTCGCTACAGTTTA